CAACTAGTTACTTATGTAGAGAAATCCTCACTTATCACTTATTGCATCTCTTTCTCTCATAGATTCCCCATTCTCTCTCCTCTCTCTTATGCAACACATTTTCTCTATCATCTCTCTCTACCCCACCCTCTCTCTCTCGCCATGGCTCTTACACTTTCGCGTCGTGATTTAAGAATATGAGATCAGACATGTTTTAATTAAAAAAATAATTTGATAGATTATGAAAAATAGTATGTCAGATTCCTCTCTGACGCTAGAGGATAGAGATGACTAGTCATTTTCTAGTTGAAAATAAAAAAAAGAAACAAGTAGATTATGAAACATAATCTTCCAAATTCCTCTCCAGTATCGGAGATAGGAGACGATGAATAACTTTTTAGCTAAAAATAAAAACTAAATCTAGTATATGAAAATCAATTTGCTAGATTCCTTTTCGACGACTGACCATGTTTTAGTTGAAAATAATAAAAACTTCTACATGATTTTTCCCTAATGACCGGCTGACCATGTTTTAATTTGTTAAGTAAGTGACTCAAATTAGTTTTAGAAAAGTAATAATTTTGTTTTTTTTTTTTTGTAAGTTACTGTTTTCTATTTTTGGGCAAAGCTCATTAAGAGTTTGTTGAGTGTGTAATTATGAAATTGTTAGTGAATTTTTCTCACTCTTCCGCGGACATAGGAAGTTTTTCAAATTACATAAATCTTTATCTTGTCTATTTTTCTGTTATTTTTATTTTAGTTTATTTTTCTTCTGTGTGGGTGTATGAGTGTGTTTTTCTCAACATAATTAAAAAAATAATTTGATAAATTATGAAAAATATATATATGTCAGATTCTTCTCTGACGCTGGAGGCTGGAGAAGACTAGTCATTTTTTAGTTGAAAATAAAAAGAAAAACCCAGTAGATTATGAAACATAATCCTCCAAATTCTTCTCTGGTGTCGGACATCGGAGATGGCGAATAACTTTTTAGCTAAAAACAAAAATCAAATTCAATATATCATGAAAAGTAATCTACTAGATTCCTTTTTGACGATCAACATAAAAGACTGAAGACGGCTGATTATGTTTTAGTTCAAAATAATAAAAAAAAAATTTGTAGATATGAAAAATTCTACCAGATTTTTCTCCGATAAACGGTGTCGGAGACCGGAGATGACCAACAATTTTTTAGTTGAAAATGAAAAACAATCTAGTATATTATAAAAAAGAGTCTACTAGATGAATCTCTGATGACTCGCCCATGGCCGGCGACTGACACCAGTGATTGGAGACTGCCTTCCGATAGCATCTGAAAGATTAGCAGTGGTAATCTCGTAGATTACCTTTTATTTTAATCAGCGAGGGCCATTCCAATAAAACATGCAATGTTCACTTTTGACAAGTTCATGAAAGGGTCATAAATTCAAAGCTCCAATAGCAAAGGGCATAACTCCGAGGGCCAGTTCTTTAAGGGATATTCCTCAAGTTTGCTCAATAAAATGGAAGATTTTCTATGAAAACCCAAAGCACAAAAAGTACAATGGATTGAATTAATAATTTAGATTTCGAGTTTTGTTAAAGTAAAAAATTCTTAGAAACTATCACATTTAACTTTTTTGTTATAGTAAAAAGCTCTCATATAAAATCGCATCTCAATTCGAATTAAAAACTCGAATCAACGAACTAAACGAGCCCTTACTTTTCTTCTCGAGAGCTTAAATATGTGAAAACCTGACTTTAAACTGACGACTAAAAACGTCAATCAAAACATTTAAACACATGAAAAACTTCACCAAAATAGACACAATTGTTAAAACAGTTAATCAAAACAGTACTTAACATAATACTAACAACCAGATTCCTGTTAATTAATCATTAATATTAATTCAGGTGTTAGTACAGCCTATCAAGCTCCTAGGTTAGATGATTATTTAATTTTGTTGGAGGAGTTCCTCCTTCCATAGGATCTACTGTGCTTATTAATTCATTTTTATAAACAGTCTCCTTTTCTTCTCTATAAAAAGAAAAAAAAAACTATTGGTAAATATAATTCATTGATTATATTCGTAATAGAAGAAACTGACAAAGTTGAAAATCATATGTTGAAGGTCTTTAACACCACAGCAGCACCTTCAGAGTTGAAAATCACGGTAGAAGCACCAGTATCATCCGATTTCGCCTTGAACAACGATTCAAAATTTTATTCGGATCCCTCGTCATTTCCAAATGATTTGAACTTCTCATTTGTAGTTCCAACTGTTATAAACATTATGGGGTATTTCAAGTATTTGGAGGTACTAAAATGGTTAGATCTTTGCTCACTTACCATCCACTTCCAAATGGGAAAGCTTTTGATCAAAGAGAATATTTGGTTGTCGAAACCGTTCACAGCATGGCAAGTCTTGGCTATTGCCGTAGCATTATGGTTACTGCACTGCTGAGCAAAGATTAGGCTATCTCCAGGAAGCTATATTTACATATTGTTTCCATAAAGCTTTCAAACTGATTAATATATTTAAAGATCATATTGCTAAATATCCAATTTGAATTCCATGCAAGTAGTTTGGCTTGAGAAAGCTGCTTGGCCTTATCCTATCCAATAATGCCTTTGACGTGCAAATTTCTGAGACAACTTGCATGAACCTTCTGAAGCAGAATCTATCCTTAATATAGGACAATGCGTTGGCATCCCTTTTTTTTTTTTTTTTTTTTTTTTCCGAATTCCCCCCAACACCAACCTAAATTAGCATGGTACCATAGTTTATGATGCTGCTCTTGAAAGCATTTGAAAAATTCCTTGTCAAAAGAGCCATAAGCGTTGACAATCTTTTTCTTTTTTCGTAACACTAAAATCTTAAAACGTATGGTTTTTTTTCGTCTCATTTGGCTTGAATGTTTAATTAGAGATGGGCGCCAAGCAACAGTGTTAGAATTTGCCATTGATTGAAGAACCCATTTGAGAAACAAGAGACAATTGTTCGCTTCCAAATATGACGATCCGCGATTCTGACTCCACTAAAAAATTCGTCCATTGCGGAATCCACAGCCAAAGATAGTCCTTGGAAAGAATATGGGATTCCCTTGTGAAGAAAACATGGTGAAAGTCTCAAGGGCAAGGTTTCCTTTGGTGAACGAGTTGTCCCCATATGAATTAGGTGTCCTTTTATCACAAAAGGAGTATGATAAACCCCTAGAACTCGTAAAACAGTTTTAAGGCAAGAAAACACAAGATTGATGCTTAAACAAGCTGAATCACAGGCTTGTACACTAGTATTAATGGCGGAAAATTACGGAATACACAGGTTTGGGTATGGGGGTATTCGAGTGACCCCTTGCACTCCCAATCCAAACTTGTCTAAGAAGTTTTGAGTATGTTCGAATGAATCTTCTCATGCCTTATCTAGACTATTTATACTATTCAGTAACTAACTTTCTGCTAACAACTCAGCCTAACCGACTAACCACAAATTCCCCTTCTTGGCTTGCCAGCTCATCACTCCTCTAAGAATTACCTCCCTGACTCGCATCTCCACTGCCTTCCCCTGTTCCTGCCACATTCCTCTCACGAACTCTCCTCCGCACACAGGTAAAACGCAACGGAGGCTTATCAGAGTATTCGCCCAAGTATTTACATTCTTTGGTCTTGCGTGTAGTAGGCTTGTACGTCGGGGAGATTTTGAGGTAAAAAAGACGGCCTTTTTGCTTGAAGCAACGCTTGCATTGAGTCCATGTGAGATCACTTGATCCAGTGTCCATAATGGCAATGGTATTCTTGTGGACTACCCAGTAAAATATTCTTCAAATATTGTCCTGCACTTGGAAATAACTCCGTTTGGACATCGCTAATATTGTGTTTGAAAGAGATTCTCTTAAACGGTTGGCTCGGTGATGAGAGAGTCCGGATCTATTATCTCTATTTTCATGTCTCAGTGGCTGTTTTTTAACTAATTATTTATCATCTCTTTTAAATTTAAAAACCTCACCATATAAATAAGAAACTACTAAAAATACCTAAGCATATGACAAGGTGTTAAAATTTAGAGAAAATACACCAAATAACAAATTTAAGCCTCGTTCATTTCACCAATTCGAGTTTTCAGTTTTAAGTTTCTACAGTAAAAAGCTCTCAAATGTCACATTAAATTTTTTCTACTACAGTAAAAAGCTCTCAGAAAATATCACATCTCAGCTCGAATTGAAAACTCGAATCTACGAAGTGAACGAGGCCTTAGTATAACCTAATAAAGATAATAGTGCAATTTTAAATGATGGAAAATTATAGCACCATCACTTAAAAAAATTTCCGCAATTCCTAAACTGTCCCTAAGATCATTAATAGAAGAAAAAAACTCCCTCTCAGATCTACTTTTTCTCTCCTCATCTGCATGTCCTCTCTCTCTTCATCGATTAATCTCTCTTTCTTTCTTCTCAGATCCAGTTTCTCTCTCCGCCGCCCATCCTCCATTCCTCTCACTCTCTCCTTCGAGCACCATGCCTGTCTTCCACGCGATCTCTCTCTTTTGAATATGATATTTACTGGTATATATAGTATTTATTAGTATATGGTAAATACAATATTTATCAGTATACGATCAATACGGTATTTATCAGTATACGGTATTTATTAATATATATGATAAATACTGATATATACGGTATTTATTGGTCGCCGGCACCGGCCATAGTAGACTTGACTAGAGTGGGGGAGGTGCGGGGTGGGAAGGAAAAGGTCTAAGGGTATTTTTAGGTTTTTATAGTGTTTAAAACTTAAAATATTATATTGTGCTATAAATTTCATGTTTTAAAAAATTGTGATATAATTTACTAATTACTCTAATAATTGTGTCATTTCACTCATTCTCTTTAAAATTTAATTAGAGCAATAGCTATCAAGATAGGAAAATGAGACATCAAATCTTACTAACTTTACATTTAAGTATATATAAAGTTAACAAAAAAACGATAGTAGCATAGACATTTTTTTTTTTTTCATAAGTTTAATATTTTTGTGAGAGAAAATATTATAATAAAAAAAGTTAAATTATAATTAACCTAGGGTCAAATACAAATCACACTAACGCATATATTCTATAATATTTTGAATTCACAGTCATAATCCATTTAAGACAAGGATCATCCATTGATAATTTGACCTATTGAAATATCTAAACTCAGATTGATCGAATACGATCCAAGACAGATTTGTCTTTAAGGTTGTTGCTTTGTTGAAGTTGTATGTATTCCTTGTATTTAATTCCGATATATGCTGGTGGAATATTATGGCTGTCAACCAACTCTGCTGCTGGGGTGACGACCGTGTCAAGGGACGGTCCATTTGCAATCGCTAGTGATATTCTTGTGGAATTGCGGTTCACAATGGCTCGATGCACAACACTCTTGAACTTCCCATTGCTCAAAATCTAACAGGGAAGAAAACCATTGTATGAGGATAATATGGTTAGTTAACTGTCAAAGAGAAATTTTTAAACGAGTCATATATTTCGTTTAGCCCGTTGATTCGAATTTTTAATTCAAGTTGAGATGTGATTGTATGTGAGAATTTTTTACAGTAACAAAAAAAATTAAATGTGGCTGTTTCTAAAATTTTTTTACTGTAGCAAAACTCGAATCGGTAAAATGAACATGGCCGTATATTGTATACCAAGGAAAGCACCACAAAAATATTTATAAAGTAGAATATTATTTTACATATTTATCATTTTTTAACGTATGAAAATGACTAAAATTGAAATAAATTAATAAAATAAAATTAAGTTTGAGACGTTTTAAAAGTCATGAATTAATGTGAGATTGACTATAAAATTTGAGAACCATTTGTGAGATTTTAATCTTTATATATAACCACATGCATGGTGAATTATCATAGACAAATTTGACATGTAGCATATATATATATAGCTAAAAGTAATTGTAAAGCATGCACACCTCAAGGTGATCGCCGGTGTTGATCAAGAAGGAGTTGGGAATGGGATTTACGCTAACCCACTTGCCATTGTGTTGAATCTGAAGGCCACCAATTCCATTTTGGGTAAGAAAAGTCAAGAGGCCATGATCTGAATGAGGAGGCAGTCCCATTGCTAGCTCTGGCTGTGGACAAGGCGGATATAAGTTTGCTATGAAGATTTGGAAATTTGAATCCAAATTCAAGGCCTTGTTTATGTAGTTGCTTTCCATACCTAAACTCTCTGATATCCCTTCAAGTACGTCCTTCGCGACTTCCCGGATTCTTTTGCAGTACTCTAATGCAAGATTACTGTACCCAAAAAAAAAAGCATTTCAAACACTATAAAATTATAGGCAAGGTCTCTGGTCAGACACTTGGAAAGTTCTTGACCAGAGTGGTACTTGTACATTTTTATATGAAGTGTGTATATTTATAATAAATCGTGTATATTTACAGGTAAATTATGTATATTTACATGACACTTTTATAATTGTGTAATCGTGTATATTTATATATAAATCGTGTATATTTACATATAAATCATGTATGTTAAATTATAAAAAACGACAATGTATATTAATTTTCAAAACATGTTTTTTTATAGCAATTAGTGAATACATAATATAAAAATATGTATATTAATTAATTTATTATATTTTACATTAAATATACATAACTTTATATATAAATATACATAATTTACATATAAATATATGTAATTTATACGTAATTATATGTGGCCGAGACGATTCCTAAAATTATATAGTACTTATTACACTGACAAAAATGACACAGACACTCTTTTGACCTAAATTAATCACATCAACATCATGTTTTTAACTCCGTTAAATTTAAATGTAAAAAGACAGAAATACCCTGATTAACATCAGCCAATGATCTAACAATCCTAAATCTTAGCCGTCTATTCCTTACCTCGCCGGAGCAGCTGCGTCCCTCGCCCCGTCAGCTTGCCACCACGCTGAGCCCACCCTCCAGCCGCCTCCTTACGATTCCCCTTGACCGTCGAGAAACCGCGTCGCGCCCACCCCCCTCACGACATCTTCTTCTCTCACCCCGACGTTTTCGTCAACCATGGCTGGTTCGAGACGACTGAGGAGGGAGAGAGAGAAACTCTGTGGTGGTTGTGGGGGGAGAGGGGAATAGAGGATGGCTTCGTGATGTGGAAGGCCGCGATGGGGTGGGTTCTTGACGGGGAGGCCGCGAAGGAGGAGATCTGGTTCGCGATACGAGGGCCGCGGCGTAAGGGTTGCGGTGGGGGGCTTTGCAACAAATGGACTACGAAATCGCGGCTACAACCATTTTTACCTTTTTTTTTCTAATTTTTATTCTTTTGTGATTTTTTTTACATTTTAATTTTTTGTGTTATTTTTAAAAATATATTGTTTCTCGTTTACTTTTATGAGAGTAATTTTTCACATATAATTACATTTTATTTTTGATTAATTAAATTAATTTTCTTTAAATGTATCTTTATTTGATTTTTTTATCAATTGTTTTTTTTACACACATTATTTTTTAAAATAAATTTAAAAATTCTTAAATGGTTATATAAATAAGTTTCTCATAATTTAATAAAAAATAAATTCTTTAACTATTTTCAATACGATAATATGTGTGAAACATAATAATATATACGGAACACGCCAATATATGCGGAGCCCGATAATATGTACGGAGCATGTTATAAATTAGTATCAATAAAAAGGGTTAAGCAAGTGAAAATAAGGGGGGAATTGAGGCTTAGTCGACAAAGAAGCAGTTAGGGAATTGACATGCACAAAGGACGGTGGTTTGCATGGAGGGAAAAAAAAAAATTTCCAAGGCAATGACAATACACAAATGGTAAAAGTCAAGCTCTTTATATAAAAGAAAGACTTTCCACAAATAAATAGTGCGCCTTTCACTATCAGTAGCAAATGAGTTTAGGTTCTCAAATGTTCTACATGGTAATTATATTTATTCTTAGCTAGTTAGGTTGTTTATGTTTGCTTGATCGATGAGTTTTTGATTCATATATATACAGAAATTTGCTCTTAAGATATGTTAGTGCACCGTATTGTATTGTATAGTATTGTATTACATTGTATAATTTTTATACAATACGGTGTTTGATTGGTAGTATTATTAAACATTATACATATTACTTATTAGTTTGTAATAAGGTAAAACTTAGGCCTAATCGTAACCTAATTCGACTCTAATTTTGACCCGAAACCAACATTTGGAGGAAGCAAGGGAGAAAATAGAGTTGCTACATAAGGGTCTTTTTGCAATTTTTTTAAAAACAGGGTCAAATTGTAATTTTAAAAAAATTAAGGGCTGAAAATATAATTTTAAAAAGTTGAAGGATCAAAGTATAATTTTAAAAAATTGACGGGTCAAAATATATTTTTCAAAAAGTTAGGGGTCAAAATATAATTTTTAAAAAATTTAGGGGTAAAAATGTAATTTTAAAAATATAAACCCATTATCACTTTGATCCCGAAACTCGACCCCAATATTGGTTCCAAAACTCAATCCCGAGCCTTGATATTTGTGAAATATTTTATATATTTTTAATATGATATTTTAAGTTAAATTGCATAATACGGTTTAGCACATGAGTTTTTTTTCCGTATTAAATGTCACACTTGGTATTGTAATAATTTTAAATCTCGTATTAAATTATATAATGTATAAATGTCAACAAACATTGTATTATTATTAAACAATACAATACAAAGTGTACGAGATACCAAACATGCTCTAATATCATTAATTATGCAATACCTGAACCCAGATGGTTTATTAGGGAAGTGAAACTGAGGATGAACAAAGACCTTGAGAAAATCCCTCCAGTAGAACTCTTTCTCTATTGAAGCGTTGAAGCTTGTTCCACACCTGATTGGGTCCATGACATGATCTCCCTTGAACTCCAACTTATCATCCTCACAAAGATAAAAAAATCCTCTACATCCATCCATTACTGCGTCCATCAGACTCTCCGGCACACCATGATTGGTGACCTATATATAATATATACGACTAAATATGTTTTAGAAACTATTTATGTATTGTGGTCCATATATTTCTGATTGTTAGATTTAAAATCAAAATTAAAAAAAAAAAAAAAAAAAACGTATGTATATAAAAATCTCACCGTTCTAAACAGAACCTTATCCGTAGGATATATCTTACACTTAAATTATATGAACAAAATATTTCAACCATAATGTTTGAACAAAACATACTTGTAATACCATTAAAAAAAAAAAAAAAAAAAAGAGTAAGAATTCAAGTTCAAGTGGGCGAAAAATGAAGGATTACTATGAAGAAGCCCCAGTTTTCACAGGCATTGCCGAGTTCGTTGATGACTTTCGACCGTTGATCGGACGTACCAAAGGTGAGGAGGGCGAGATCAATGATCGGGACATTGACTTCTGGGTCAGCTGGAAGAAGTGCTGGATATTCATTGGGATTGCTGGTGAAGGTATAAGAGGCAGGAATAGAAGTTAGTTCAGGGGATTCAGCTAAGGATTTGATGGATATCATTTTGGGTGGGAGACTAGAGAACTTTTGTTGGGATAGTTGAGTAATACCTGCTTAAGCTATATAGCAGAATAAGAAGATGAAGATGAAAGAAAAGAGAACAGAACAAATCTGGTATGTGATAATAGTGGAGTATGTCCGTCATATATATATATATATATATATACAAATATAATTCCTTTGTCGTTTAATGTTCAAGTTGCATATTGTATGTAATATAACATAAACGTATAAAGTTTCTGTTTGGTCCAACTGGTACAATGTGACAAGTACAGGTGTGGAAATGCAATGCACCACAACCATTATCAACGACATAAATCTAACTAGTTGGGATTTGACGTTTTATTTAGTTGTTCTAGTTTCCTTTTTTACAGCACATTTCTTTTAGAGAACATTTTATTATTTAGCTGTTTCATGTTACTTTTTTTTTTTTTTCCCCCTTTACAGAACATTTTATCAAGTCATAAATGACAATTTTAATTAATTTATAATTTTCTTAAAGGTTGCTAATTTTAATTAGTTACTGCTACATATCGGTATTAATAACTTAAATATTATTTACAAGTTATATGTTAACAAATATATATTCCAACAATAGTATTTTTTTTATAAGGGAATCAATAGTACTTTTTTTTAATATATTTTGTGTATTCTTAATTGAATTCTTTTCTCTTTCTTGAATTAGTTTAACTAGTGAATTTTGTTCTATGAAATATTCCATAAACTAAAAAATATGTCATGAATGGTTACTCTGTTGATATTTGGATGAAAATTTTGAAACTTTACTGATTATTAAAGGTCCTTGAACAATTTTTTCTCAAAAAATAATCTCTAAATTTAGTCTCTGACTCAAAAAATGTAGCAAAAATTAATTCGTCAGTTAGACAAATATATGCAAAACGTTAAATTTTTGGGAAGCTCGACTAAATTTAGCCCTTATACTAAAAAAAATAAATTTGTGTCAAATTTAGCCTTTGTATGATTAAATTGATTAAATGATTAAATAGATAGAAAAACATCAAATGTACGTAGCTTAAACCTTGTACTGAAAGTCTGAAACGATTTTTAGCTGTCTATATCTCTGTCTCGACTTCAGCCACGATCCAAACCTTGACCCAATCTCAATCCACCCCCATCTCAAAGTTGGTTCTAATTTTGAAAATAAGAAATTTTCAGTTCAGGAAACAGATTCGTATAAAAAAAAATGTAAAAACAAATAGAACCCTAGGCAAAGACATAGATAATGCGTATATCTTTCCAACATCAGTATCACGTTACCAAATATCAATCATTTTATATATGGAATGATTCACTTGTTATATTTCCCGATTACTTTGTGAAGTTAAGAAGATTATGATGTACAATAGATTTTTAAGGATGTTAGTTTCTAGTTTTCATTTTCTGTAGAACGGACTTATATATATGTTGTATCATTCTCTAAATGATACTGAAGAAAAGTCATTCTTCCAGATTTACTTTTACTATGCTTCTTACATCTATGTGTTACGTCTACGTCCCTTTTTCATTTTTGCTTCTTTTTTATTTATTTTATGAAATCTTCATTTTTGCTAGTCTATTGCGCCTTTTGTCTTCTTTTTCTCAGTATTATTACACTTTGGGGCACATCATACACGTAAATTTTGGCAACTAATGTATTGTCATGTCTCTTTGTCGTTCATAATATATAAATGAGGGACACCGAAATACTTATCCATTGTGTACATTGCATGAGGAGCTGGTTAATGCGACCGATGAGAGCAACTTGGATTGGACTTTGGACAAGTGTTGTGTGAGAGTAATTCCTGAAAACGACATCGTCCTATTGAGAATTGGTTTGTTGAAGAGCGAAAACGCAGAGTTTTGGTTAATGAAGAATAAACCTATAAATTGAAGACACGTGGTGAAGTAAAGTCAGCAACTACTCCCACAGAAGAAAACTCGAGAAGATATGTATTATCCTCATTTTAGGAAGTTCGTAGAGAGAGAAAAGAAAGAGGGCAAACAGAAAGCTTGTGAAAGATTGTACTGAGAAATCTGAGAGAGTGTTTGGGGTTGAGAAGATCTGGGTAAAGGGGTTTCTTTGCTCACTGGGTATTTTCTCTGTAAAGCTCTGTATTGGGATTTCTCTGGGGGTTTTTCTGGGTTCTTTTCCTCTTGTAATCTCTGAGTGATTAAGGCTTGAGGTGTAATTGATTCTCAATAGTGGAAGGGTTTTCTTGCGAGTGAGCCCAACGGGGATGTAAGATTTCTTGAATCCGAACCTTGGTGAAACAATTTGTGCTTCGTCATTCTTTAATTTCTTGAGTTCAATTTCGAGTCTGTGTTAGGTTTTTCCTAACAGTGGTATCAGAGCTTTGGTTGGGTGTACAAATCAAAGGTGGGGCTCGAAGATTAAGGGTCAAGAACTCTCAAGAAATCGGTGAAGACCATCAGCCATGGTTTCGATGAAGTTTGAATTGGAAAGTTTGATGGGTCTGGTGATTTCGGCTTATGGAGAAAGAAAATGAGGGCAATCTTGGTTCAACAAAAGGTTGCAAAGGCTCTCGGTGATATGAAGGATTTCTCCGATACCGACACAGAGAAAGAAGAGATGCAAGAGATCGCCTTTTCAACGATCATCCTCTACCTTGCAGACAATGTTCTCCGACAGCTGAATGAGGAAGATACAGCGGCAAAGGTATGGCTGAAACTTGAACAGTTGTTCATGACTAAATCACTCACAAATAAGATCTATCTCAAGGAAAGCCTCTTTAGTTTCAGAATGGACACTTTGAAGTCTCTTGAAAAAAATTTAGATGATTTCAACAGAATTGTTATTGACTTAGCCAACATAGGGGAAAAGATAGAAGAAGAAAATCAAGCAATCATTCTCTTAATTTCCCTTCCAGAGACATTCAAAGACGTTAAAAATGCCATTAAATATGGAAGGGAAAGCTTGACTTTAGAGGATGTTCTGTCAGCTTTAAGGTCTAGAGAATTAGAACTTAAATTTGAAATGTCCTCTAAGAAAGATAGTCATGGAGATGAAGGGCTTTTCACTAGAGGCAGACCTTTCAAACGAGATCAAAGTAAGTCTGGAATTAGGCCAACCTCAAGATCAAAATCAAGAAATGGTCAGAGAAAATGTTATCACTGTAATAAACCAGGCCACATCAAAAGGTTCTGTAAAGAGTGCAAAAGAAAGTTGGCTGAGAGAAAAGCAAGTGAAGATGATGCTGCTATTGCAAGCCAAGAATCAGGGTATGAGAGCTCCGAAATGTTAGCTGTTGGGATCAGTCAATCGGAGGCTGAGTGGATTTTAGATTCAGGGTGCACCTATCATATGTGCCCCAAGAAATAGTGGTTCTCAGACTACCATAGCTGTAATGGAGGCAAAGTCTTGATGGGAAACAACCACTCATGTTCAGTGGTTGGTACTGGAACAGTAACAGTAAGGCTGCCAAATGGAACTCTACATATGCTCACGAATGTCAGGCATATCCCAGAACTTAGAAGGAATTTAATCTCCCTTGGAGCACTAGATGATTCAGGATACACTTACAAGGCAGAAGATGGAACCTTAAAGGTTCTAAAGGGGTTTCTAGTGATCCTTAAGGGGAGGAAGCATCACGGATTGTATGTACTGGAGGGACAGGCAGAACAGGCTCAACCAGTGCAGTGATCAAAGAAATCTCAGAGGCTGATATGTGGCATAAACGCCTTGGACATGTCAATGAAAGAGGATTGAGGGAACTTAGTAAACAAGGCCTTTTGGGAAAGTGCAAGGTGAACCAGTTAGATTTATGTGAGCTGTGTGTTCTAGGAAAGCAGCACCGCCTTAAATTCGCTACATCAACATTCAGGGCAAAGTCTCCATTAGACTATGTCCATGCGGTTCTCTGGGGGCCAACCCACGATAAAGCTAGGTACTTCCTTTCTATTATTGATGACCACTCTAGGAAGGTATGGGTTTTTCTATTAAAAACAAAAGATGAGTGCTTTACTAAATTTAAATATTGGAAAATCTTGGTAGAAAATCAAACTGGTAAGAAACTTAAAGCCCTTAGAACAGATAATATAATGGAGTTTTGTCATGAGATCTTTTCTGAATTTTGAAGGAAAATGGTATCCTTAGGCATAGAACTGTTAAAGACCCCACAACAAAATGGGATAGCCGAGAGAATGAATAGAACTCTCATGGAACGTGTTAGGTGCATGCTTTTTGGATCGGGTCTAAGTAAAACATTTTGGGGGGAAGCTGTAACAACAGCTTGCTATTTAATTAACAGGAGTCCCTGTAAACCTATTGACCTTAAAACCCCTGAACAATGTTGGACTGGGAAACCACCTAACCTAAGTAACCTTAGAGTATTTGGTTGTGCTGCCTATGCACACCAAAGAGAAGGTAAACTAGATCCTAGATCATTAAAATGCACTTTCTTAGGCTACCCTGATGGTGTCAAAGGATATAGACTGTGTTTCCAAGAAGGGTCTCATTTTAAAATAATAAATAGCCGAGATGTGATGTTTAATGAACATGATATGCCATATTTGAAAAAGAAAAAGGATACTGCTAGTTTTCCCTTAATTGATACAGGTACAAATTCAAAACAAGACCTTCAATTTGAGGTGGAACAGTTTAAAGAAAACAGGCAAGGAGATGAGGAACAGGAACCCGAAGTATCACAACAAAGCGTAACAGAGACACAGGGTGCTGATGATGAAAGTGTCACAGAGTACACTCTAGAACCTCCAGAAACAGTAACTGGATACATGCTGACCCGTGACAGAGAAAGAAGAACAATAAAGCCACCAAAGAGATATGGTGGTGGCAATTTGATTGCCTACGCACTAAATACGACAGCAGAGATAGGAGCTATAGAACCTAAGTCGTATAATGAAGCTATTAGTTGCCCACAAGCAACTAAATGGATGGAGGCCATGAAAGAGGAGATGCACTCCCTGATGAAGAACAACACTTGGGTTCTAGCAGGTAGACCAAAGAATCAAAAGGCTGTAGATTGTAAGTGGATTTTCAAGATTAAGGAAGGACCCACATCTAAGGAACCTAGAAGGTTTAAGGCAAGACTAGTAGCCAAAGGGTTCACACAAGTCGAAAGGGTTGATTACACCGAAGTTTTTTCTCCAGTGGTGAAGTACAAGACTATAAGAACAATACTATCTCTGGTTGCCTACAATGACTTGTACCTAGAACAAATGGACATAAAAATGGCTTTTCTTCATAGTGACCTCAAGGAGACGATCTACATGAACCAACCTCCCAGCTTTGAGGTAAAAGGTAGTGAAAACAAGGTTTGTTTGTTGAGAAAGTCACTATACGGACTAAAACAGTCCCCTAGACAATGGTATAAGCGATTTGATCAACATGTGATTCAAGCAGGTTTTATAAGGAGTCAATATGACTCTTGTCTATATTTTAAGGGGGCTTGTACTGACAATACAGTGTATCTTCTACTGTATGTAGATGATATGCTGATTGCCAGTAAAGACTTAGCAAAAATCAATGAGGTAAAGAAAATGCTAAGTCATGAATTTGACATGAAAGATCTAGGTTATGCAAGGAGAATTTTGGGAATTGATATTAAAAGAGATAGGAAACAAAAACTTTTATGTCTGTCTCAAAAAGAGTATTTAAGAAAAGTTGTTCAAAAATTCTCCATGCATCAATCTAAATCAGTCAAAGTCCCCTTAGCTGGCCATTTTAAGCTTTCGACAAAACAATCTCCCAATACAGAACAAGAAAAGCTTAAAATGACCAAGATTCCTATTCTAGTGCTGTAGGGTCATTAATGTATGCTATGATTTGCACAAGACCTGATTTAGCTTATACAGTAAGTGTCTTATGTAAATATATGTCTAATCCTGGGCAAGAACATTGGACATCATTAAAATGGGTTTTAAAGTATGTAAATAGCACGTTGAATTATGGCTTGATATATAGGCAAAGTACTAACATTTTAAACTTGGAAGGTTTTGTAGATTCTGATTTTGTAGGGGATCTGGACAAGCGTAGGTCTACTTCAGCCTATGTGATGCACTGGGAGGAAACTGCATTAGCTAGAAATCTCAGTTACAACCCGGGTTGCCTTATCAAGCACTGAGGCATAATATATTGCTGGGACAGAAGGCTTTAAAGAAGCCGTTTGGCTCCAAGGTCTATTAAAGGAATTGAAGGTATTGAAAGGGGTTGCAATAATCTATTCAGATAGTCAGTCAGTAATTTACTTATGCAAGAATCTAGTGTATCACGAAAAGACAAAACATATTGATGTAAGGCATCACTTTATAAGAGAGAAGGTTGAAGAAGGATCAATACAGCTTGAGAAGATCAGTACAGATGAGAATCCATCGGACATGGCAACGAAGGTGGTCACTGCTAGCAAGTTCCAGAAGTGTTTGGACTTGCTAAGCATTGGCAAGACTTGATTTCAGTTCAAGTCTGGGCAATGATTTCGCAAGAAGCTCTGATAGTATAATACAGTGTCGTTTGCAGAAATTAAGGTGGAATATGTGAGAGTAATTCCTGAAAACGACATCGTCCTATTGAGAATTGGTTTGTTGAAGAACCAAAACGCAGAGTTTTGGTTAATGAAGAATAAGCCTATAAACTGAAGACACATGGTGAAGTAAAGTCAGCAACTACTCCCACAGAAGAAAACTCGAGAAGATATGTATTATCCTCATTCTAGGAAGTTCGTAGAGAGAGAAAAGAAAGAGGGCAAACAGAAAGCTTGTGAAAGATTGTATTGAGAAATCTGAGAGAGTGTTTGGAAATGAGAAGATCTGGGTAAAGGGGTTTCTTTGCTCACTGGGTAATTTCTCTGTAAAGCTCTGTATTGGGATTTCTCTGGGGGTTTTTCTGGGTTCTTTTCCTCTTGTAATCTCTGAGTGATTAAGGCTTGAGGGTGTAATTGATTCTCAATAGTGGAAGTTTTCTTGCGAGTGAGCCCAACGGGGATGTATGATTTCTTGAATTCGAACCTCGGTGAAACAATTTGTGCTTCATCATTCTTTAATTTCTTGAGTTCAATTTCGAGTCTGTGTTAGGTTTTTCCTAACATGTTGGACTGTATTTTGCTAAATCGGCCAGGATTTCTGTCGCCAACCTTCGTGTCATAATTTCTCATTACGTTTAAGGCATAGAAATAGCCTCTAGGCACTATGATATCTCTTGAAATCAGATTTCGTACTTCATCTCTTATCGTACACGTATCAACACAACTTACCGACAGGATACAAAGAAGTCTTGAATAATTCCCAAGCTGACGTTGACAGAGGGATGGAACGACTCCCCTGCCACTGAAGAATTGGCTCCCGAGCTTACAGTATCAATCCATAATGAGAAACTTCTCTAAAGGCAATCGCCGACCGTCCAAACCGAGAAATAAGAATAGAATTTGATCAAAATGAGTAGATCTTATTCAAAGGGTATGTTTGCTAGTGATTCTTGGATCCCACAGCTAAAATTTATAATTGGTGAAAACCATAAAAAGTTATTCATAAAGAGTTTTTGAAGAATTTACAGTCTAGAAGCAGCCTAAAGACAACTTTAGTTTTTAGATTGTGCGACAATCACCTTAAAGTACAATTAATGAAACTTTCATAATACCCTTAAAATCAATATTTGTATAATCACAGTTTACCAAATACTCAGCTGTATTTTATAATAGCTGTTTTTTTAGCACAGCTAATAATAATTTTTTTTTAAATTCTACAGCACTACCAAACTGGCCCAAAGAGATACTATCTGAATCCTAAAAAGGCATGCACTACAAGTAAGAAGCATTAAGTACTGTGTAAAAGAAACAATGAGGAAACATTAACTCAACATTGATGGCTAAATCAAGAAAAATTTAAAGATAAGGAAACCTTGAACTGCACAAGGATTCCTATAAATAGGAGTTCTTACCACCAATTATCGCATCTCATACGGACTTAATGGATCATTACTCAGTTTCCTCGTCTTATTTCTTGTAACCATGAAGACTCTAAGATGGACATAATTCTCACATCGACGGTGAACCGCTATAGATCCGCTTGTATATGCTTATTTAATCATTTCTTGTATTCTACTTTCTCATTCATATGCTCTGTCAACTCGCAACATTCGACTCACCACTTCCTGACAATTACCTGCGATTCAGTCATTGGCTCCTAAAAAGATTTAATTCATAAACATCTCCTCGGGGGATCGATTCTTCTAGTGTAATTGTCCCATCATGGGCTGGCCATGGGGCTCTCCGAACTATTCCGATGACCAGTAATGAGCTAAATTGAAATGTGCAAATGGAGGTAAAAATGTCACCTCAACAATGAATATATATATATATATATATTCATGAATCAATAAACACATCTAAAACTTTTATAAATCAAATGTCATTATCATTAACTTAAGCATGTTATAGTGACTTACTTTTGCACGGTATGACAATGCCCTGCTAAGTTACAAACTCTCTCTCTTTATATACATATATATATATATATATATGTACGTACGTACGTACATAGGTAGGTATGTATGTATATTACTTGTGTGTGCAATATTTCACAGTAGTCGTACGCAATCTAGCATGCATTTGCCATTAAGGTTCCGGCTTTGCTGAAGTTCCAAGTATTCCTTATACTTCAATCCAATGTATGCCGGAGGACGGTTTTCAACCAACTCTGATGCTGGGCTAACAACCGTGTCAAGAGATGGTCCATTTGCAATCGCTAGAGATATTCTTGTGGCATTGTTGTTCACAACAGCTCGATGAACGACACTCTTGTACTTCCCATTACTAAAAATCTAGCAAGAGGAAAAAACCATTGTATGAGGAACGAACCACAGATATATAAAGAATTCTCGGAAGAGATTCACAATCAATGATACAAGGAGAGCTGTAATATTTTATGTATTTAAGAATAAACGAATAATAGGCAATGCTGAAAAGAATTCTTCTATCATATGTGCCAAATGTAGTAATTTGAGGATTGCTACAGTAAAAAGTTCTCAGAAATAGTTGCATCTAACTTTTTTGCTACAGTAAAAAATTTTCACATAAAGTCACATCTTAACTCGAATTAAAAATTCAAATCAGCGAACTAAACGAGCTCATACAAATCGTACCTCAAGTTGATCGCAAGTGTTGACCAAGAAGGAGTTGGGAATGGCATTGACATTGACCCACTTCCCATTGTGTTGTATTTGAAGGCCGCAAATTCCATTTTGGATGAGAAGAGTCAAGACGCCATGGTCTGAATGAGGAGGCATTCCCATTGCAAGCTCTGGCTGTGGGCAGGGAGGATATAGGTTTGCTGCGAAGACTTGCAAGCCCGATTCGAGATTCAGGGACTTGTAGATATAATCTCTTTCCAATCCTAAACCCTCTGAAATGCCTCCAAGTATTCCTTTGACCACTTGGCGGATCTTTTTGCAGAACTCTAATGCAAGCTCACTGCACCAAAAAAATCGAGTCGAGAAACAAGAAAAGCTATTGATTGACCAGTAAAATATTGATTGATATTGGTTAAACACCGATTGATATCGCTCAATGATTGACCGTCAAGTGAATTAGTCAATCAGTGATTGATCATTCTTACAAAAGCAACATTTTTCTAATTTAAACAAAAAGCTATTAGTTTAAATCATAAAGACAAGAACACCGCCAAAATCATGACAACCGAATTCGTTTGTAACTGGATTATAAAAATTGCATTTGTACTTGACTATAAGAGTGCATTTTAGCCACTTTTGACTACTTAATTGAATTATTGATATTTGTTAAAGATAAATCGCTTACCTCAAGTTCCGTCAAGTCCTTATAAAATTAATTTAAAAAAAAAAAAACGCAAGGAGAAGAGAGAAGATAAAAAACAAAAAACCCAAGGCATATATATATATATATAACTTTATTTTTTCACTCTCTCCTTTTTTCTTCTTTCATTCTATCTCTTTTTTATTTTTTTTTATTTTTTTCAAGCATACCACATAAGTTTACAATATTTTGTATCCTCTGGCAAAAAAAAAAAAAAAAAGACTTTGAAGATACCAGAAAAGTTTTTAATTTGGAATCCTAAGACCCTTTGATCAAAGCATAAATAAGGATCCATATATGATAAGAACATTTCAATGGGCATATATGCAAGTCATGATCATAAAAAAAAAAGCCCCTATATATGTGTGTGTGTGTGTATATACACACACACACACATACATATACATATATATTTTGTTTTTCATCAGTTTCTTTGACAAATACCTGAACCCAGATGGTTTATTGGGGAAGTGAAACTGTGGATGAACAAAAACCTTGAGAAAATCCCTCCAATAAAACACTTTATCTACTGAAGCATTGAAGCTTGTACCATATCTAATCGGGTCCAAAACATGCTTTCCTTTAAACTCCAACTTCTCTTCCTCGGCGAGATCGAAAAATCCCTTGCAGCCGTCGATTACTGCATCAATCAGTCTTTCTGGAACACTATGATTGATCACCTACTTACATGAAACATTAAGATAAAAAAAATAATAATCAAACTCTCAAGGAAAACATATTAACTAATAATCGAAGTTATTCCAGTATGATAAATATATATATATATATATATGTTACCATGAAGAAACCCCAGTTTTCGCAGGCTTCTCCGAGTTCAGAGATAACTTTGGACCGTTGATTAGGATCACCAGAGGTGAGGAGTGAGAAATCAATGATGGGGATTTTGAGTTCTGGCTCTGTAAGAAGTGCTGAATCATTGGGATCAATATTATTGTTTCTGAAAATATAAGAGGCGGGAATAGAAGTGAGGTAAGGGGATTCGGCTAATAAGGACTTGATGGATGTCATGATCTTCAGGTGAATCGCAAATGCGAGGAGGGATAGAAGAACAGGGGAAGGGAATGCAAGAAGAAAATTTTTATTTTATCTTCTTAGAAAACAAATATAAAGCTTATTAAAATTTTTATTTTATATATATCTTACTTTTTTTAATATAAGGCTTTTTCAGTGGTCTCTCTAACTATTTTTATTATGGGAAATTTTCCCAGGATTAGCGTAATTATTTACATGATTAATATAATTCTCTTATATTAAGTTGTAAAAATTATTCTTTTGAGAATTAGAAATCATTTTTAAGCATATGACAATTTAAAATTGTCATGCACTACTGCTCTAAATATATGTTCATACATGATCAAATATGCTTATTAAAAAAAGAAGATGAGAGATGTAATTCTTCACAATAATATTATTAAAGTTTAAAACGACAATAAGTTACGATAAAATAACTGATATTAACAATAAAAATAACAGTCGTTTATTAATGTGCCTTTTAATATCTTTCATATAATTATTCATAATAGGTATACATGACAGTCGCTTATTGTTATAAATTTAAAAATAATTTTTAATTTTTAAAATAATAATTATTACGACTCAATATAAAAAAATTACGTTAAACTTTCAACCGATTACGATTGGCACATGAGCCTATTACCAACACATGAAGCCTATTACCATGACACATGAAGCTTGTCCCCCATTTTTGAACTGAGGGAAAAAAAAGACAACTCTTAACATAAATATGTTATACTTATTTATGCATATATAATATTACCACGTGTTGATGGAAAAAAAAATGCATTTTGGTCTATCCATACTATGTTTAAAATATCTATATTTAAATATGTTTCATTTCTATTACAATATATAGAAGAAAGTTTTGTACTTTCATTTTTTTCATTTTTTCATTTTTCATTTTTTTTTTCTTTTGATTTCTTTCTATTGCTTCCTTTGTTATCGGTGAGCATCTTAATAAGAGGTATAACCCCCCACCCCTCAAAAAAAAAAAAATTGTGATATTTTTTTTGCTAAATAATAAAAAAAAGTAATACGTTCAAAATTCCCTTGATATGTAGAAAATCATTCAAAATTTTTCTTCTGTCTAACTCCATCTATAATCCTAAAATCTCAAGGAATACGCTAATGTGCTACCCATTTTTAAACTGAAAAAAAAGATTAAATATATAAAAAAAACTTAAAACTCGTTCAAGAAAAAAATAGAATTAATATTAGGTTAGTTTTTTTCTTTTTAAATAAATGCTTTAGATTAAACTATTTAAATCATAACCGTACGTTGGTTATTTTACTCGGAGGCCGCATGGGCTCAAGGACGACGGCGTGTGGTGTGGGGGACGATGGCTGAGTTGATGGATAGTTATTAGTTAGGGCCAAGAGATTATCGACGCGTCTGTGTCTCCGACCAAAAGAATACGACATGATGAGTCGGATAAAAAGAGAACTTTTGTGTCTTTGACGAATGCAAGAGAATGATTGCATGGGTTTTAGTTTGGTAGGTGGATGGAGTTGCATGAGACTGAGTGGCGGCTACCACCTCATTTAAATTTTTTTTTTTAAAATGTTACTTATTTTAAAATTTTACATTTAAATTTTCACTGAAATAATATATGTTCCCATTAAAATAAATATATTTTTTATGTACTCTTATTAAGATAATTTATTAAAAAAATTTAGTGTGCACTCCCACTAAAGTGAAAGACTGACTCTGTCACTGAGTGAGGGGAAGGGTTGGGTTCAATGGATGGGTGGGGGAAGGGGTTGTGCGATGGGTTCATCGTCAGGGGAGGGGTTGTTGTCGTCCGGACGAGGCATGGAGGCTGGGGTGGTGGAGGATCTTAGTTAGGATTTGCAATTTTGGAGGAAATATTTCAGAAGTTTTTTGTAAAACAAATGTTTAGAATACTAATTTCTTACTAATTTTTTAAGTGATTATTTCGCTTTTCAACTTAATTAGATATTTTATTAGTGTGATGTTAGCAAACCCGTTAGGATTAAAGATGAAAGTGGACAGATAAGGCATTTTGAATGATTTTCTATTTTAAATAATTTTGTAAAATCAAAGGATATTTTGAAAAAAGGTACATAATTCAAGCGACATTTACGAAAATAATTCTTAGAACAATAAAAAACTTCAAGGTGATTTTATTTGATCTTTCCTCATTTTCAATACAATTTTGATGAGCCAAACCTTAGATTGACAAAATGCTAACCAAAAAGCCAAATGTTAAGATTGCACATAAAACAATTATCATACATCAACTTATAATATACAACTAGCCAATCATTCATAAGAATTTATATACATATAGTTATGCTTTCCAGATGTTCTTTTAATTTAGAAGATTGTAAATCAAATATAATTATGCTTAACGTCAAGTTATTAAGGCAAAAGATAAAATAAAACTGCCCTATATATGGGACATAACTCCATTGATATCTCTGCTGTCTGATCAGGTGAAACAACTGCATATGCAATGTGCCTAAAAGAATGCAATTTCAGCTACAAGA